TCCCCCTGCCAGCGTAATACAGGTTGCCCTGCGCTACACTCCAGGGAGATTGGGTTTAAGGTTCGTGTTTGTGTAAGGCTGGGAGCGGGACATGGAAATATTCATCCTTTCGGAACCTTAACACAGCGTCAATTGCATGATGGCAGGTTTCCTATTTTCACTCCTCGTCTGGGTTCTAAGTGCTAATGTCCTAACATGTGCCACCAAGAAAGACACTGGAGACTATTATGGCCACTTTCGGTTCACTTGCCGTCATCAGTCGGTCGTACCCCGACTCAAAACTGAGTTAGACACTGTCTTCTTTGAGTGTTTGACTGGCTTACAAAAGAATATGCGCTAGGCACTGAAATCTGTCGTCCGTATTGGTATGGACTGCAATAGGTATGTCACCGTTTGCATTAGCTTTATTCCTAGCGAGGTAAGACAGGGCTTCCAGAAGCTAATTGGCGAGTTCCAGGAATCACTTCCGAAAGAGAAGACCTGTTCACTGGAGCAAGCCGTTTGCTCGCCTGCCGTCTTGGGTTCTCACTCGGGTCTATCGTCGGAGGCAATTATTGATAGGAGTAGTGTGGACACAGGGAGCGCCATATTTATAGAACGCAGTTACCGTGCCACCACCTGTCTACAATAATTGGCAACATCCGCATCTACTGCTAAAGTTCTACTCCGCACAAGCTTTCCTCCTTAATGGCAGTACTTGTATAGTCTTGATGATGCATCATCTAACCCGAGCTCATCCCTCTGGACTCCGCGACACCTCATGACGCCCTGACCGGCGCTTGTGCGTTGAGTTGGCTGTTAACTGTCGATTTCCGGGATGCAAATGGCACCGACACTTGCGCGTGTTTTTGGATTGTTGCTCTCGTACATACTCGTGTGACCTTTGTCTACTGCAGGTGGCGGATTTATTTACTGCGCTGCCGTTACACACTCAGTTGTGCGTGTTTGCAGTCATCTATCCCGATTTAGCTTGGTGCGAACTGCACTTGACGTAAAACTGCTCGTTCTATAGCGGGGCGCCCTTACGTTTGCCCTCATGATATTGCGCAAGACTTCCGTCTCAGGATTGTGGGATAAAGAGATCCTATGAAATCAGGGGGAGATAAAAAATTCCCTACGTGAGCAAGCTGCGGTAGGTCAGTGTAAGTGCTTTTAAAAAAGGATTTGATGACGTTCAGGGTATATCAACTGAAGTTGTTATCGCTGTGTGTTAAAGGAAGATGGCCTCAATTTCATGAAATC